AAATGGGAGGGAGAAGCCCCAGCAATGGTCGGGGCCAGCAAAGGTCTGACCACTCAGCCAGGAAGGAAGGTGGGAGCCCCTGACCCTCTGAGCAGCCAGGCAGTAAGGGCTCTGCCCCAAATGCTCTCAAGGCAGACCCAGGAGAGGGGCAGTGGGGGCTGCCGCTGTCCTCCGCAGGCCAGGGGGGAGGGGCATGTGACAGGTGCAGCCACAGCAAGGGCAGCCGGGGGACGCAGGGACCTCACGTGGACAGGCCACATCCGCAGGAGAGGGGCCCAGAGGCACCTGAGCACCGTCCTAGCGGGACCTGTGGCTCCTGGCGTCTGGCTGAGCCTTGCAGCAGGCCAGGCAGGCCGGGTCAGGAGGGGCTCCACAGACAGCTTCCTCCCTCCTCCCTCCTCTTCCTCCTCCTCCTCCTGCCAGAGGAGCTAATCAGCACAAGGGGGCGGAGGAAGAGGGGGCAGAGCTGCAGTGCAGTGTTGGGGAGGGGCTGTGAGTCTCGCGGGGAGGGCCATGAGCTGGGGACAGAGCTGAGAGGCTGTGGCCACTGGTCAGCAACACAAGCGTCAGGGCCTGGGGCCCGGCTGGTCCCAACACGCCGCCACCAGGACAAGCCGAGCCGCACAGGCATGGGAGCGGCTCCCAGTGACCCCTGCTCCTCGCCGGGCGTGCAGCGTGGCGTGTGGAAATGTGCCTGAAGGCCCGGGGTGAGCCTGGGCTGTCCTCTGGGCAGAGGACTGGCGGTCCCTCTGGAAGCGATATGTGAGCGCTCTGGTCCAATAAATTAAAGGCAATGCCAAAGCCCTGGCAGCCGCCTCGGGCCTGGGCCTGAGGCCGGAGGGGCGCACCTGCCCTGGCCTACATGCTGGCCCCTCCCCAGCAGCAGCCACGCTCAGAACTCGTCATCAGAGCTCAGCAAGAGAGTCTTCTCGGTGTCGCGGGCGCCGCTGAGGCTGTGGGAGCGTGAGAGGCCGTGGGCGCCGCCGTGCCAGGGCGGTGTAGTGCTGGTAGGCGGGCGAGAAGTTGTGGATGGCGTCCTGCACAATGTCGTGCGGGTTCATGGTCTCCTTGAGGCTGCTGGAGATGCTCTTCATGGGGGCGCAGCGGCCTGCGGGCGGGAGGCAGGGGGGGTGAGGGGCTGGCGCAGCAGGAGGCAAGGGGCTCGGCCCCCAGGTTGTTGTGGCTAATCAGCGATATATGCAAATTAACTCACCCCAAGGCTAGGCCATCCAACCACCCCTAGTCCTGGGACCCACCCCAAGGCTAGGCCATCCAACCACCCCTCCTGGGACAGAGGATGGGGCTCTGCACATGAGAAGGTGCAGGCAAAGAAACGGCCCTCTGGCTGGGGCGCAGGGCAGAGAGCACCCCTGAAGGGGTGGAGGTAAGCAGCAAGGGGGCTGAGTCCGGCAGGTGGGACGGGCCTGGGGTGGAGACTGGCACGATGCAGGCAGTGAGCCCAGAATGTTCCAGGGAGGCAGGCCAACCGCACAAGTGGAGGCGGAAGTGCTAGGGACGGGGATCCTGGTCCTGGCCCTGCCCCCTCTCCTGAGGGAGTGGACCAGGGACCGTTCCATCAGGGCAGCTGCAGAGGCTGGACCCCGGCGGAGCAGACACCTCCACCGGCTCCCCCGAGAGCGCGGGAGCCACCGGCTGGATAGGCTTATCTGATTCCCTCTCCCATGAACGGGCCCCACAGGCCCAGGCCACACACTGAGAGGTAAGGGAAGAGCTCACTCGCAGCCAGGTCTTCAGGCTCAAACACGTCTGCCCTTTCTGCCTCCATAGCCTCTGCCATGGACATATGAAAGGCCCTGGTTTCCCAGTAATGGGTGCCGTGCCCCAGGACCAACAGGGCATATGCCAGACGACAGGCCAGACAGAGCAGGTCTACAGAGGTGCCCGTGGTGAGGAGACTGGGCACAGAAGAACCAGGCAGAGAGGCGTGCCGGTGACAGGGACCAGGACTGACATGCAGGACAGACATGCAGACAGAGCAGAACCTACCGTAAGGACCATACGTTGGCACTGCCCACGGCCAAACCCGGGGCAAAAGCAGGGCGGGCGGGGGAGAGGGGAGAAGCAGGAGAAATAGAGAAGACAAGAGACAGCTGAGTGAACACCATGGCCCACCACCGAGGCCAGTGCATGCCACGGCCCCTGCCGCCCCCACCCCTGTCCCATCGGCACCCCAGCAGCCCCAGCTTCCCCTCGGGCCTGGGCGCACTATCCACCTACAGAGGACCCCCCTGTGGCACTCCCACTCTCTATGGGGGGACAAAGAGTGGACACCAGGATGGGGGCCGAGTTCGCCTCCGCCCCTAAATCAGGGCCCCCACACCCCACTTCTCCAGCCTTGCCTGAAACTGCTAAGCCTGTGCCTCGTGCTCCACAAACCTCTCCCCACTTCACAGACAGGAAATCGAGGCTGGGGCGGGGTTTCTTGTGCAGCCCCCATGACAGAGTCAGCTCTGCACCCATGCCAGACGGGTGGGCTGAGGGGCTGGGCTCTGTGGTTGGCGGGCCTGTGGCCGGCAGGACCACGCGGAGGGGCAAGAGCGAGCAGCAGCTTCCCCTGGCGGGCAGGGTCCACGCACAGCTGCACGGCTGCGAGTGGATGTGTTGGGGAAGATGGCCCAGGCGTCCATTAGAGCGTCTGCAGGGCCACCACGTGCAGAAATGGTTCTTAAACACTGAGACCTTCCCAGGCTCTGGGCACAAAGGGACTTTCCCAAGGGACAGGGTCTGTCAGGACCAGGTCCAGGGACATCGCCCTCAATACTGGGAAGCTGACCCTTCCAACTGGGGCCTTGGTGGGAGGCCAGTGGGCCACCAGCCGGCAGCGCTGAGCCGGCCAGCACAGTGCCTGGCCCTGACAGTGTGCGGTCAAATATGGAGAAAGCGGCCCCAGCCAGCGTGTTGGGGAAACGCGGTCGGGCCCACCAGTCACGAGGCCTGGAGTACAGGTCAGGCACCAGCAGCTGCGCAGGCATCCTGCGGCCGCCCACCAGGGAAAGAACATGGCAGGAAGGGGTGGGAGGCGAGGAGCCCGGCCGCGGGCCAGGCGGTCCTCTATACTCTTCCCAGGACACGGCTGCCCGGGCCCGGGCTGGGCATCGGTGCTGCACCTGGGGAAGTGGGTTCCCTCGCCAGCCCCGTGGGAAGGGAACTGGCAGCAGCCGAGCTCCAGGGTAGATGTGTCAGACCAGGAGGCCTCCCTTCCAGGCCCTCCCACCTCCTCCCATCATCCAAGCAGCCCCAGACTCCACTTCCTCTTCCCCTTGGGCATCCCTCCAGGCCCAGTGGCAGCAGAGGCACGGGCCCGAGAGCTGAAATCCCACCCTGTGAGGCCCGAGTCCAGATCAATGACTGCGGAACCGCTGAGGTGGGGCCAGCACGGACTTTAAGACTCCCCAGGGGGCTCTGCTCTCACCCAGGGAGGTCAGCAAGTAAAAGAAAGCTGTTCAGAGCTATTGCCGCCCAAGTCTGCTTCTGAGAGGTAATCAGGTTAAGAAAACAACAAAACACCTGAGAGACAGAGGATCCTGGGATAAACGAAGAACCGGCTCATGTCCGAAACCCTGAGGGACTTCTGTCCTAGAATCTCTGTCCTGACCGTCCCACGGGCACTGGCCTGTCAGCTTCGGGTGCTATAGACCGGCTGCCCGAGACAGGTGGGCTCGCTCCCAGGCCCTCCCTCACATGACCAGGACTCCTGGCCCTTCCACCCTGCAGGACGCCGCGGGGCAGGAGGGCCCGGCTCTCACCTTGCGCGTCCAGCCTCTTGTCGGCATAGACCTTGTAGGTGAAGGCGTGCCGCAGGGCCAGCGCCGCGAAGAACATCTCCACGCAGATGATGAAGTCCTGGTAGCCGGCAGCCACGGTGCCCTCGCCCACCGACACGCGGGCTGAGTGGATCTTGGGGATGGCCCCGCACTTCTCCAGGATGGCCAGGAGCAGGCCTGGGAGGCAAGGTGTGGGTGTCTGGCCCTGGCTGGACCGCCTTCCCACCCCCTCCTCCTCCATGCAGCGCCCCCAGTGCCCGGGGCGGTGGAAGTAGGGGCCCTGGTTGCTCCTGTGGGCAGCGTTGCCAACACAGGCCGAGGCCACTTGGAAACCCCACGCCCCCAGACCCTTTCTGGCCATGAACACTGAGACGTCACAGATTATGCGGGGTCCCCCGTGTCCCCCCACCCATGCATCAGCCTCACTGAAGCTCTGCCCTGGCTCCTAAGGCCGCTAAGGGCCCAGACTTCTGCCCGAGTGGGCACCCAGTGGATGGAGGCCCCTGTGAGCCCCAGCCTGGGATCCCTAAGGACAACCCCGTGGCCTGGGCAGGCAGGAGGAAGGGGACGAGGTCTAGGGGACAGGGCTGCCACACGGGGCCGGGCGGAGGCTCACCTTGCCAGAAGGAGAGGAAGATAACAGACTTGACCATGAAGAACTTGAGGACGGGGCTGTAGGGGCTGAGCAGCTCCCTGGTGGCGAAGTAGAAGAGGAAGAGGGCGTAGAGGGCCAGGCTGACGGAGACGTTGTAGATGATGGTCACGTACAGATAGCCGCTGGCCACGCTGCAGAAAAGGGGAGCATCCTGGCTTGGACAGACCCTCCGAGGGACGAGGAGCCCCCCCTCCTTTGTCCTGCCCCTACGCCAATCCCCATGGCTCTAGCTGTGCTCCCAAGCAGTGCTCCACAAGCCACGTGGTGATCAAAGGGGCCAAAACACGAGGCGGGTGCTGGGGTGCCTGCAGCCCGGGCCGGGCCAGGGCCCTGCCTCACGCAGAGGTGTCTAGCCACCTGCCCGCAGCTCTGGTGCCCACGCTCCTGGTGGAGGACATGGCATCCTGGCCTGGCCTGGGATGAGGGCTCAGCCGATGGTCAGACAGTGAGTGTCAGAGTGACGGGAACCCAGCCCTGCTCTTTCCAAGGTGAGCAAGTTACATCCCACTGCGCCTCCGTTTGCCACCTGCCCTGGCGGGCTGCTGTGTACCGTCCAGGTGGTGTTGCCAAGCGCATACCAGCACATGGCCATGGGGCCACTGTCCCTCACTCCCAGTGAGAGGCCTGGGCAGTTCACCAGGCGAGGCTTTCTACCCGAGGACTCAAGACGGGCCTCTCGGGCTCCAGCCCCGCTGCCTGCCTGGATGGTCACTGTTCCTTCTGCCCCGGGCGCACCCCCCTTGCCCCCCTCTGCAAAGGGGATGGATGCTGAGGGCTCCTCGAGTGCCCCTGACAGGCCAGCCTCGCAGCTCAGGGGTGCGGAGGCGCGAGGAAGGCTGGGAACATGCTTGATCTCCACTCAGAGGAGGTCCTGAGGGCGTGCGTGTGCCCAGTCTGTGGCCGCCTCCTTCCCTAAGCCAGGCATTTGCCTCTGGGCAGGGACATCTACCCTGGCACCAACACTCCCCCCGACACCCCTGCGGGGACCCGCTGCTTACTCAAAGTCACCGTCCCGGTACTTGCCAAAGGCCTGGAGGACCACGGTGCTGACAGCCATGAGCGGCTTCACCACGCAGAACTGCAGGGTGGCCTGGGGGAGAAGCCGAGAGTCAGGATGGGACAGACCACGTAACAGCACCTCCTCTGGCCGGCAGACCGGCTAGATGCCAGCCCAGGGTCCTCCCCGAGGGGACTGCTGTCTGGAGAAGGCAGAGGGAGTGAAACGATGCCAGTGTGACAGCTGAGTGAGAAGATGGGTGTGGAGGGAGGACGATGGACAGAGGAATGGAGAGGAGACAGGAAATGTGAGACAAGGGACAGGCAGAGGGGACAGCTCATTCCGAGGCCAGAGGCTGAGTGGTCAAGGGCACGGGTTCGTGCTGGACGGGCAGCACCATGAAGTGGCCAAGGAAGTGGGTGGGGTGGGGAGCAAAGCCGGGCCCTGCTCCAAGGGCTGGCCACCTGGGGAACAGGGTTGGACCAGGGCTTCATCTCGTGCCCTCGCCCACCCCCGGGGTCTGGCTCCCTGCCCCGGGCTCTGGGCCTGGGCCCAGGGTTTATACTGAGCTGGGGTCCTGCTGGGGATGGAGATGACTTAACGGGAGCACGAAACAGGAAGCAGCCCAGAGCAAAGGTCTAGTTTTGACCCCCGAGTTTGAATGTTGGCCTTGCCAGCTGCCAGAAGCTTGAGCGGCGGCCACTGAGCCTCGGGCGGACGGGACGTAAGCAGCCCCTTGTCACAGGGTAAGCCCCGGGGCACCCACGGCACCCATAATATCACTAGAATCACCTTCCTGCCCAAGTCAAATATGTCTAAGCCAGGGGCCTTCTGTGGAGGCGGGAACAGTTGGAAATTTGAATGTTGGCCTTGCCAGCTGCCAGAAGCTTGAGCGGCGGCCACTGAGCCTCGGGCGGACGGGACGTAAGCAGCCCCTTGTCACAGGGTAAGCCCCGGGGCACCCACGGCACCCATAATATCACTAGAATCACCTTCCTGCCCAAGTCAAATACGTCTAAGCCAGGGGCCTTCTGTGGAGGCGGGAGCAGTTGGAAAGGCTAATAAGCGAGTGTGGCTCCAAACAGGGCCAGGACCCTGGAGCGGAGAACGTGGCCTGTTGAACCCAAAGTTCTAGGAACCGGAGTGAGGTCTGCAGGGGAGCCCAGTGGTCAGAGCTGTGGGGTGCCACCAGGAGAGGAGTGTGTGACGGGGGGAGAGGGGTGATACTGCTGTCACACCCCACAGAACTGCCCTGGCCTTCCCACCCCACCTGAAGGAGGCGGGACCCCCACCGACAGCCCACAGGGGAGGAGCATCCCCTCGCATGGAGTGAGCCAGTGAGTGAGCGAGCTAAGAGCCGGCCACAGGCGGGGCGCCCGGTCAGCCACTTGATGCCCATGTGCCTGTGGAGCCCCAGACGTAAGCACTGTCCCCGGCCTGAGACAGAGGAGGGAACTGAGGCCCAGGGACCCTGAAGCCCAGCAGGACGCCCTGCCCTGGGACAAAGCTGCCCCCCAGGGCAGGGGGCGGGGCTTTTGTTCTCTCCCCTTTCCTACCTCTCCCAGCCACTGCCAGGAACAACGGTGGAATATCCGGAACAGCCAGCCCACAGGCCTGGGGATAATTTATAACAAGGCGGCTGGAGCTAGTGATCTGGGATCAAAACTTTGTACACAATATAATCATCAAAGAGGGCATGAGTCACAGGCGCAGGCGCCCAGCCCAGGGTAAACAATGGCCCTGATTGAGTTAGCTGCCCAAGGGCTTTGAGCTAGGAAGGATTTATACCCATTGGCAAAGGGGTTACATTGAAGGGAGATGAGAAACACGGAAGGAAGACGTGGAAGCTGACCTGGAGGCCCGGGAGGTCCAGGCAGGCTCTGTCGAGGGGGTGCCGGGCCCTGCACAGAAAAGCCAGGCCTCCAGCGGGCCAGGGACTGGCTGTGGTTCACTTCCCTGCGGGTTACTCTGGAGATGCTGGAGGGGTCGGGAGGCCCTGTGGCGGGAGCCCCAGAAGAGACTCAGTCGAGGTCGTGCTGCTGGGCATGGCACGGGACTCTCCCTCCCCAAACAAGAGACGGGGGGCTCTGTGCCAGCACCTTGCGAATGCTCTGTATCCACCACCTCACCTGTTCCTTAAACCATCCCTTGGGATAAGTAACAGTACGCACATTTGACAGAAGGACCTAAGGCTCAGAGAGGTTAAGTAATGACCCAGGTCACGGTCAGAGGAGAAGCTGGAAATCAAACTCAGATGGTCAGAGGCACAGGCCCATGCACTTCACCACCACACCGCCCCGCCCAGCCTTCCAGACCACAGGGAGGCCGCTGGGAAAACGAAAGCTGCTGCTGCCAACTGGGAAATGGGGGAGGGACTAGAGACGGCACACGCCTGGTTCGTCATGCTTTTTTTTTTTTCAATCCTCACCTGAGGATATTTTTTTAAATATATGTTTTTGTTGATTTTAGAGAGAGGAAGGGAGAGGGACAGAGAAATAGCAACACTGAGAAACATGGATTCGGCTGCCTCCTGCACGCCACCTCCTGGGGATCGAGCCCACAACCGGGGCATGTGTCGATGCTCAACCACTGAGCCACACCAGCAGGGCTGGTCTTGTATCTTTAATGCAGAAACCCTCCGTCCCTCTAGCCCCAGCCGATGAGAAGTTTTCAAACGGAGATTCTAGAATCCCCATGCACATCTTCCGATTCTCACACACACCAAGACTTGGTAAAAAGGAGCAAGAGTCTGAGACCACTTCGTGCCCAGGACGCCTCTCACTGCCCCTCCGAGCACCCCCGTGAATGCAGGGGCATCCCTAACTGTGTGGGGAGTGGGTGCTGGGGGTTGGGGGCTTGCAGGAAATGGGAACTCCAAGGTGGAGCCAGGGCAGCCTGGGGCAGGGTCCACCCAGCTGGCCTCTGCCACCCTGTCAAGCAGGGGCAGCACAGCCCCGCGGCTGCTGCTCCAGGGCACAGACCGGGCACGTGCGGGGGCACGCACCTGCTTGCAGAACCGCAGGAACCCAATGGAGTACGTCTTTCCCCAGAGGCAGCAGGTGCCATACATACAGCTGGACCTGGAAGAGACCACAGAGGGGATGGTGAGCAGAGAGCTAGGACTCGGGGAAGGTGGGGCTGGGGGACGCCCTCCCGCACATCCAGACAAGCCAGGGCACAGCAGGGTGGGGTGGGGACGGGCAGAGAGCCCAGGCAGCTTTGAGCCCGAGGCCAAGTGCAGGGAGCCAGCGGAGAGCATTTGCAGTTGCGGTAAAGCATGAGGGAGCAGGCTGCTCGGCGGCCCGCGGGGAACAAAGCACCTGAGAAGCACTGACTGTAAACAGTGCAAGAGGGAGAGAGAAGCAGGAAAAGGTGGGAAGACAGAGGAGAGAGCCGGGGAGCCCTTCCGCAAGTCCCAACGAATTGCCTTGCTCGGGAAGCTCAGGAGACACAGCAGGTCAAGGCCACAGGCGCAGAGGAGCTGCATGTCCAGCTGCCGCCGGGACAGCTCGGAGGAAGGCATGCCCGGAAGGCAGGGTGCGGGCTGCAGGGAGCTGTGTACTCACTCGATGGGCTTCCCCCGGATCTCGGACATGATGGAGCTTTCTCCCCCGAGGTACTCATAGCACAGGCTCAGGAAGTTGTAGATGACCAAGGCTGTGAAAAGAGGGTCCACAGTAAACCACTCGCATCAACAGGACGGGTCAACAGACGGCAGAACTCTGAGCGGCAACGCAGTGAAATACCAGTCACACAGCAACAGAGAGCCCTGAGGGACAGGAGCACCGCACCGGGAACTGAACCTCCGTTTTAACCAAAACCAGGCAGGACCAGTCGCATTGCTTAGGGATGCTACACACTGCTCTCACTCTACAGCATGGAAGTGATGACCTCAGAAGTCAGCTCTGTGTGGGGAGATGGGAGGACGGGAGGTTAGGGTGGGCACAGGGGGGCCTTGGGGTAGCTGGCAGTGTGCCCGCTCTGGGGTTCAACCAGGTACTGGCTTTAGAATTCATCCTATGCTCTTTTCTATTGTGTTATGGACCACGAATTTACAGCAAAACAATAAAACATTCTCCAGGGGGCTCTCAGGAGACACTCTAAGCAAGAATGAGACGGCAGCACCTCCGCTCGCTCACAACCTGCAGAGCACCTGAGCCTGCACTAAACACAGTGCGGTGCGGAAAGAGGCACACATGTCTTGAGAAGCTGGGTCAGCTCGTTCTGAGTCAGGACGCGACTGGACATCCCCACAAAGATAGAATCTGCGAGAGCGACCGCCCGCCGGCAGAGAAGTATGCTGTAAATGCTACGCCATAAATACAGCAATGCGCTGCGATGGCTCCTGGTCAGAGATGTCTGCTGGGTCAGCAAAGCGAAGGCGGCTGCCTGCAGGTGCCAGAGCGAAGGGGTGTGCCGGGAGCGAGGGGGGCGGGCGTGGAAGAAGGAGTGAGAGTGTGGAGAGGACACCACAGAGGACGGGGCCGGAGGGTCGGGGCCGGAGCAGGGAGCGAGGAGAGGCATCCAGAAAAGCACGGCCAGGGCAAGGTCAACATGGGCCCTTCTCCTCTGACCCTGCGTCCCCTGCAGCATGAAGGCCTCGGCGCAGCCCCTGGTTTGGCACTCAGGGTCTCCCCACGGGTAACGTGGTCCCTGCCCACCCCTCACTCTTCCTGCCCAGCAACGCTGGACGCCCCTTTCCCTCAGCAAGTGATTGCTTTTGCACTGGCTGTTCCCACTGCCTGGGGTGCCCCGCCCTCCGCACTCCCATCAGACACCACCTACCCCGAGAGTCTCTGGCCACCCTAGCCCAGTTCTCTCACCCACAGCCCTGGTGACGTGCAGACGCTGTGCAGACCTCAACACGAAAGCCTGGCCACACAGTCGGTGGTGAACAGTGGCCTTCAACTTGGAAAGGAAGGTATCTGGGTGCTTTTTGCCACTCACAGCTGCTCTAACCTATGAAGGGCTCATGTCTCCAGCTGGGGTGAGGGCCCCAGGGAGCACCCTCTATGAACACGACCCATAGCACCTACCACACTGTGCTGGGACTATCCCTCAGCAGACACAGAGCAGGGGTTTGCCGCCTGGGTCTGCCACTGGGTTAGCTGTGAGCCTCAGTTTCCTCATCTGTTAAATGGGGACGGGAGTCCCTACCTTCACAGGAGGCTGCGAGGTTGAAGTGAGTATGCAAAGTGTTCGGGCGAGTGGGCAACACTGCGCAGCGCTGCGTGTTGGCTGCTACCTGCCTGCCTCCCTCGGGGGCCAGCACCCCGGGACGGGCTGGGGACCCTGTGTGCTGCTGGCCCGGCACAGGAGCAGCTCGGATGTCTGGTGACTGCAGGCATCCCCACTGATCACACAACGACAAGAACTACTCGGGTACGGGAGGGGCATCTAGCCAAATCTCACGTCAGCCTGCTAGTGGCCTTTGTCCGAACCCACACGAGGCCACATGGAATGGATGTATCCAGCCCAGGCTGGGCCCAGCCATACTGTGGCCGATGGTTATTTTCCAAAGACGGCCACACCCTCTGACACTGACACAACCGCTGCATACGGTGGACCGGTGGCGCAGAAGTGATGCTTCGTGACATCTGACACTGGGATCAGAAGCCTCTTTCCTCTGTTCTTTCCCGAGACGCCTGCCCTTGAGCCCAGTCACCGTACGGGAAGCCCAGGCTGACACCCACGAGGGAGGAATCAAGGACCCAGCAGACACCAGCACCCATTGCCAAACACACGAGTGAGTCAGATTCCAGATGAATCCGCCCCGGCCGAGGCCCCGCTACCACGGGCAGGGGCACACCATGCGCACGTGCGTCCCGATGCCTGCCCGGCAGTCAGCAGAAGCAGACGGTTGTTTCACACGGGGCTGTTTGGGATCGTTACCTACAGCCATGTAAGTAGAACCTAGACATAAAACCGCCCGTGGCGTTCCCAGGGCTGCACGCTCCTCACGCTTCCCGAGGCCACATATTCCGGTCCCTCTGCCTCCCAGAGGGACCCGCTGGGGTGCCACCTTCTCCTTGGCGGCCTCCTCTGCTCTGTTGCCATGCTCACTTCCCACACGGTGAGCTCTCTGCCCATCGTCTGAAACTTCCCGGACAAGCAGCAGCGAAGTGGCAGGGAAGCCATGAATGCGGAACCAGCCCTCCTGGGTGTGGGCGTGGCTCTACCATTTGGAGCCGTAAACATGGCACGTATTCTGGCTACACTCTCTCCACCAAGATGTTTCATTTGGGCCCAGGTTCCAGGGGCTCAGAGCAGCAGGCAGGCAGCCATGCCCACACTCAGTTCTGTGCTCCAGTTCGCACTCTCACGGGATGCTCAACAGACTTCCCCAAGGGGATCAGACTTCCAGGCCCGAAAGACAAAACCCTCCAGGGAACCCCCAGGGGCCGAAGTTCATCAGCCCCTCCACACGGACCCACTCTCGCAGCCAGGCCTCCTGCCATCCACGGAGAAGAGCCCGGCGCCTGAGATCACATCCTTTCCTGTATCACATACGTCCGCACGCAGCCAAGCTCTGTGCTCAGCTGGTCAGAACTGTCAAATCTCATCCATCTCTCAGCTCAAGATTCTCGACCTTTTACCAGTGCTCTGGCCAGCGAGTCTGTAGAACACCAAGTTGGTGACGATGTCCATCAAAGAATCATGAGTGAGTCGCTAACGCGCTCTCAGAGAAGGGAGGCAAGACAGACTGTCTTCCAGATGGTCCGACCAGCCCCCACCAGGACCATCTGGACAAGCCAATCCCCCACCAGAGAGTTACGGAGCCGCCCCAGCACCCGGCCAGGGTGTTCACAATGACAAGTCCACACACCCAGGAACAACACGAAGATATGCTGCCCTGGGCGGAGGGAAAGCACCGCAGATTCGCAGTGAGGCTCTCAGCCAGCGGCCTTGTTGCCTGACTTCCCCCTGACCATGGTTTCAGTTCTGGCCCCCGGGAGGCCTCAGAGAAACAGAGTGACTCTATGCCCCCTAAATGTTCACTACAGCCTCTGTGCTGGGCTCTGTGCTGGGCCCTGGGGACACAGATGACCAAGGGGCCCACAGACACGGCCCTCCCGTGTGAAGGAGAGCGTCCAGAATGAGGAAGGGATGGTGTCTGTCTGTCTGTCTCCTGCTCTGGAGAGAGAGGTACCAGAACTTTGGGCTCCATCCTAGGCACCTAGAGAAATGCACACAGTCAGGAGAGCAGGACAGGGTGGAGAGGAAATGAGGGTTGTCCTGGGTCCTTGAGGCCTGGAGGAAAGACACTGGCACTCACTCTCTTCATCTGTGTGCCGTGACCTTGTCCAGAAGGTCAGACAGGACCCGCTTCGTCCCAGGGGTGGATCCTACGACTTCTGCTCAGTGTAAGAAACTATTCCTAAGAAACAGTCTTCAGAGGGGCAAGGCAGTGAGCTCTCTGCTAGTGGAAGCATGCAATCAGAGCTCGGCCACAACCAGGGCATGGCAGCCCCTCAACAGGCATTAACTATAAAGGGTCTGAGCAGCTGACACTTTACAGGTCCCTCCTTTCCAACCCCGAGACGCCTGACTGACTTTCTCTCCAACCAGAGCAGCCGGGAAAGGAGAGACTGTTCTCCACCCCGCCCCCCTCATCCCCAACCCCCTCCCGGACAACTGCAACAGCACAGCCTTGGGGGCCCCCAAGGCTTCTCGAGAGGCTCCCTAACAAGTGCACTCAGCAGCCTCTGCTAGCAGCCCCCGGGGCAGGCGTCCTCATTAGCTCCCCCGCCCCCCACTACAGGTAAGCGAGGCACCCCTCTGCTCCACAGACACTCCCTGGGCCCCATTCTGTGCCCTGGGTGCACCTGGCCATCGCCAGCTCACTCCTCCAGGCGCCTTCCGCACCTAAAGCAGCCCCAGGACCTCACTGTCCTTGCTACACAGACACTGTTATTTGTAAAGACTCGGGCATTCGTATTTCAGGTAACTCACGGATGAGCCCGGGAAACTGAGTTTTGACCACTTGGGACAGAAATCTCTGCTCAGTAAAGAGGGCCTCAGGACTTTCTTTCCTTTTTTCAGGGACTGATGATCACTTCAGACAATAATGGGCACAATGCGCTAGAGCCATGGCGACGGGCTCTGCCCAACGCAAAAGGCCCTGGGATGCTGCCAGGCGGGTCCTTCCCACCCCCACCCCCTATGCCATGTCTGTCCTTTGCTGGTCCTGCTTCCTGCCACCTGGAATGCCCTTTCTGTCTCTCAGGACCTCTGCTGGTTCCTTCTGCAAACCTCTTTATTCTGATCAGCTGAGCTCCTGTGAGTCCTGGCAGCACATGGCCCCCCGGCCTTCTGTGGCGTGTTTGCGGCCCGTGGCCGGGTTCATTCTGGCTACACTCTCTCCACCAAGATGTTTCATTTGGGGCCAGGTTCCAGGAAGCGAACCTTGTCCAAAATCTGAAACTGGGTGAACGAAGCCTCATTCTTTAATTGTTTCATCCAGGCCTGTAAAACCTCTTCCCCTGACAAGAGTTCTTATTTTTCACTGAGAAACTCATCCTGTGTTCCTTCACCAAGCCTGGCATAGGGCAACCCCGGGCCTGGGAGCCCCAGGCAAGCCTGGCCTCCGGCAAGCACCTGGGAAATCCTGGGCCAGTTTCTTAGCCTCTCCAATTCCTTCCCACGGTTGTAAAATGGGGGTGATATGTATTCCTCCGGGTCACTGGGAGGTGAGAATGAGCTAAGCCTAATGGAAAATAGGTGGTAAAGCTGTGAGCCCACACCACGTTACTGGGAAAACAGTGCTGTGTAAAGCAACCGGAAGCCCTCTCTGCACCCTGGCCTCCTGCACCCCTGGATCAGCTCCCCAGCTCCTCAGGCTGCCTCAGAGTTGTCTCTAGGAGCAACCTCCCACGCCGACCACAATCAAACACTAAATGCAGGGAAGGGGCTGGTTCCCCGTTACTCCAGCCTGGCGCTGCGTGTGAGCTGCGGTGTGAGTTACAGCCCTCACCAGATGGTAGGTACTCGGTCAGAGGGACCCTGGGCTAGCCATTTACTTCTCTGAGACGCGCCCTCTCCTTGGAAAATGGCAATATTACTACCCACTCAAGCTGTTTATCTCCACTCTCCTCTCCCCCTCCCCTCCCCCCACAATGCCACTAAGATGAGAGTGAATCGGTGGAAAAGTCCAAGCCTTCAAGGACAAGGAGATGGCACCGGAGGCAGCCGACAGCAACGCTGACGAAAGCTCTGGGATGCAGCATCGTCAGCTGGCCCCTGACCGGGAGGGCCCAGGACTGCGGGGGAAGGTGCCGATGGAAAACGTGGCTGCAAGTCTGCGCGGCCTTCACTTTCCTGGCCGGTGGGGACAGCTCCTTCCTCAGAGAACTCAGCTCAGCCGAGGGCAGCAACGCGGACACTTGCAGAAAACAGATGAGGTCTGAATGCGAAGGGCGAGGTGTCCAGGTCCCTTCCCCCAACTGCACCCTTAACTCAGCGTGCCCAGCTTTCACCACCCAGAGAACATTATATCTGGGGAAACAGGCCCAGGATAAAAAAATCTTCATCGAGTGCCTGTCCCCACCACTGCGTAAAAATGGCACAGGAAAGCCGTGTCCTGTCACCCAACTGGGAGGCCGCAGTGTAAGCCCCACGCTTCAATACAAAGAATAGCCAAGGACACCAGACACTTGAGGAGCGCTTCCAACACAAAGGTCAAAGGCCAAGACAAACAAACAGGGAAGTCAGGAGACCGAGATAATGCAGGAAACAGAAGAAAACTGCAATTAGCTCCCGGGAAGGGGAGATCCTCTCTCCCACACCAAGCACAAGGGACTATAAAATAGAACAGGAAAGAGAGCCTGACGCTTTACAACACGATAAAGAAAACAAAACCTTCCGTAGGAAAGCTCAAAGGCAAATATTTAAAAGCTCCTGGGAAATAGAACAAAAGAAACCATAAAGAAAACTTAAAGGTCAATCCAGAAGTGCAACATCCTACCAACAGGAATTCTGGAAAGGAGGAATAAACGGGGGGGGGGGGCAGGGGGGGACAAAGGAACATGCAAGAACATTCTCGGCTCTCAGGACATGGGCTTCCACGTGAAGGCCCACCGGCCACCCCGCACAGTGAATATCCCGCCGCCTCTGAGATTTCAGAACACTGGGCGCAAAGACCATGAGCAAAGGGGAAAGCAGGTCACACACAGACATTAAGAGTCAGAACCCAGCCCTGGCCTGTGGTTCCGTTATTTAGGGTGTCATGCCACCATGCCAAGGTTGTGGGTTCGATCCCTGGTCAGAGCACATAGAACAATTAACCAATGAATGCATAAATAAATGAAACAACAAAATGACGTTTCTCTCCTCTCTCTCTCTCTCTCTCAAGTCCATTTTTAAAAAAAGAATCAGAATCCAGCAGACTTTCCGAAAACAATGCTGGAAGCTGAAAGACTGAAAAACCTGCCTTCAGAATTCAGAGGGAGAGTAATTTCCATCTTAGAATTGTACTCCCATTGACAACTAACCAAACAGAACAATATAATATATATTTGTAGACAATTTTCAGATTTCAAAAAACAGAACCCCCATGCACCCTTTTCTCAGGAAGCTCCTGGGAGCCGAGCTCTAACCAAGACAGGGCGAATCACCAAGGGAAAATGGCCCCAGGGGGCAGGTGGTCAGCACAGGCGCTGCTAGGGGAGCAGGGTTCCCAGGACGCTGGGAGGGAAGACCCAGGGCAGCTGCCGGGCAGGAGGAGGCCAGGCCAGCCCAGAGCAGGAGGCAGGGCGTCAGGAGGAACAGCACCGAGGAAACCCCAGAGCGAAGGGACATGCACCTCCCTTTAGAGAAGGCATGCTTCTAATCAGGGAAGCGTTCGGGAACAAAGTGATGACAGATACAGAGAAAACAGTAAACCAAACAGCAAGACAAGCGGCAGCAGAGGAAAAGCACAAGGAAATGTCATCCCGAGGCACCTGCAGGCTCAGCTCTGAACAATGTTTACAGACATGGGGCAGCGCACACACGAAATGCGGACTTAGAAACGCCTGTCACCTTAACAAGATGAAGGAGCAAAAGTGTGTGGGCGTGCACAGCCCGAGGTGAGCACCTGAGTCCCAAGCCTCCCAGAGGAAGTCTGCTACTAAACACTACGTGAAACTGGAAAATCCAGAAACAACAGGCTACGCACGTTTTTTAGGTTATTCAAGGGAAAAAAAGTTTAAGGAGTTGAAAGTGCCCTGGCCGGGTAGCTCCATTGGTTAGATGATCATCCTGATTTTAAAAAAATAATAACAATTTAAAAAGTTGCAAGTGCAATGAACTTGGGAGTCAGAGGAGTTGGGGCAGCTTGTTTCATCCATATGCATGTATGACTTTAATAAAAATAAAATGTTCATTGTTTTAATTTTGTTAAAAAGAAAAGCAAATGTCGCCTAATGGCCAGCAGAGGTCTGGCTACTGTTAAGTAGGAGTTCCTTGGCCCAGTCCATCCACTCCTGCCCCTTCCCCGTCTCAGGAGACTGGGAGGAAAGGGAACGCATGGGGGCCTCTTTTTGAACTGTAAGGGACACGCAGCCACCACGCCTGCTGGGGGCAGGTACTGCGGAACTGCAGGGCTTGTAGATACAAAAACTATGGGAGAGGGTCCCAGGCACGGAGCAGAGGTGCGGGAAAGGGCGAGGCAAGGGCGCCACCCGCGGACACCGAGCTTGTGAACGCTGGTGGCCTGTATTTCAGCAGCGGCTGAGGCCCTGTTTGTAAACTGCCTGGGAGGGGCCCAGGGACAATAGCGTTGCTAGGAGACGCAGACTTCTTACAAAGGACCTTTCTGTAGCTGGGAGGAAGGTCTGGACAGGCAGGGGCTGAACAAAGAGGCTTCTGGAGTGGGAGGAGCCGCCAACCATCTGCTGCCACATCTGGGGCTGGGGCCGGAGCAAGGGCAATGCGAAGGCTCCCTCGCTGTGCCCCCTTCTGCCATGCACCCCAGTCTGCAGGGCCTGTCCCCCGACCGTACAGGGGAGGCTCCCTGGGCAGGGCAGAGCCTTTTTATTCTGAATGAACAAGATGCAGAGGCTGCGCCAGGCGAGGCTGGCAGGGGAATGGAAAAGGATTCTTGGCCTCACCTTCTCCAACCCCAACCTCTGTGGCTCCCGAGGTACCAGAGGTTTTGCTGGGGGCCCTGCTGCTTCCAGGAATATCAGGCACTAGAGCCCCACCTGCCTCAGCACCCCCACCTGGCAGGGCGAGGCAGGGACACCAGCAGGGATTTTCATGAGGCTACATGTGGATGAACACAGGCACAGAGCAGGTGTTTCACCAAGTCCCTTCTTCATTCCAAACATCCAGAAGGAGGGAACACCTACCATGTGCCCAGCGCTGTTGGCACTGCCCTCAGGAAGGGGAGAACCAACCAGGCACTTCGCTGCACACTGCGTGCTGCGGACCGGGTCTGGGAGGGGACACCGCGGTCCAGATGGAGGAGGGGGAGCCCACGGAGAAGAGCTCTGCGGGCACTGGGCAAACACCCGGTTTGCCAGGCCAGAAGGGAGGCCGGTGTGGCTGAACGGACAGGTGGGTGGGGTGTTAGGCATCTGAGTTTCCTCACCAAATCCAAAGGCGTTTCCTGTGCCTCTGAGTGCTCAGGGACACACGGGTTCAAAACAGAGCAGAAACAGACTCCAGTTTCTCGGGGGACGAGCATGAAGCCCAGGGCCAAGGACCAAGCCCTCCCAGGTCAGGGAAGCTGACAGGCAGGCGGTCATGGTCAGAGCTGCCTGGTCACAGCACAAGGAAAACCGCATCTGGTCACTTTACCAGGAACCAGCAGTGCAGGTACAGGAGACGGGGAACACACGACCCTGAGAGGGGGCGAGCATCAGAAGGGATCTTGAATCCAAGGACCCCTACTCCCCAACCTGCTGGGCTGTGGCCTGTCCTGGGGCCTCTGGCCCCTCCGTCACCCACAGCCCATGTAGAGAGCTTTGTAGCCTGCAATTTCGCATCATATTTTTAGGCATCAACAGTAATAAAGATCTAAATTTCCCTGTGTGGCCTGCAAGGCTGTGTATGTCCCTGTCCCTGGCTCCCAGTGCAATCCCTCCTCCAGCCACCAGCCCCCCACAGCCACCCCACCCTGGCTGGGCACACGGGGACTCCTCCCTCCCCTCAATTTAGCTCTCCGCTCAGCCAAGAATGGACTCTCCTCCTCGCCCTCCCTCTGACAGGCACCAGCTCATTCTCCAAGCCTCAGGCCAGGACCACTGGGCCCCGGTGAGAGAGGCTGCCTGCCCTGCGGTAACTGTGCAGGTGGCACAGACTCCTGGGGGGCTGGCTGGTCAGGGCCTGGTGTGCCTGGAGCTCAGTGCCAGAGCTGGTGATGCTCCCACATCACATGCAAGAGCAGAGGCCCCCAAAAGGCAGTGAGCCACCTTCTTGGGTGGCACAGTAGAGCTCCTCCAGGGACAAAGCCCTCAGACTTAAGGCACATGGGGAGGGAGGCCCCGCCCTGCCCGCACTGCCCCACAGACTCCCGGATAAATCCCAACCCATCTGACCTGGAGCTTCTATCTACAGACAGATCGCTCATTTGCTGCCTGTGCACCCGCCTGAGACACCAGAGCTGAGAAAGGGGACACGGGGAAGGGGGGGAGGGTCCCTGCTTCCAGGCGTCTGTGACGCTGCTCTGGGAGCCCCATCACAAAGGGCATCTGAAGGTGAGACTCTGGCCACACCTGTGCTGTCACCTGTCGCTCTAGGCCTGGATGGAGGGTAAAAAAGCGAGGGGTGGCCCCGCGAGGAAAAACCAGGAGAGGGCCCATGGCTCCCAGACGCCAGGTAGGAGGGGTGCGCTGCCCACGCCGGCCTCCCTGGTGCGTGCCCACACGTCCTCACCCTCATAGCAGTCGCGCACGGTGCCGAAGTACACGTAGTACTGGTCGTTGGTGAAGAAGAGGAGGCTGAGCCAGGAGTCGAAGGCGTAGATGGGCACGATGAAGAGGATGCGCACGATGTAGCGCTGCTCGTTGGGACAGCTGTAGCAGCGCAGGTGCATGTAGATCTGCGGGCAGAGGAGCAGTGTCAGGGAGGAGGAGGCGGGCCGAGGGGTCTAGCTCAGCCACTCACTAGATCTGTGACTGAGTTATCCCACCCTGCGCCTCAGCCTCCTCCACTGCAAAAGGGGACGATGAGTGAGAGGCTGCTGCGAGCATCAGACCCCGGGGTGCAGAAAGCCTGTGGGGGTGCAAGCGGTGGTGCCAAGGCCGGCCTCACATGCCCGAGACTGTCCACATCCAAGGGGGAATCCAGCTGTAACAAGCACCCTGGGACCCTCCTGCTCGGCCAGGTTTGTGTGGTGCAAAGAGGTTTTCAGTGTGTGTCCCCACCCCACCTCCCTAAACACCTGGCCCCTGGGCCATGGAGCTCACTCACAGGTGAGGGGGTGGGTGCCCACCCGCCCCATCCCCTAACTAACGTATGACGGGGCAGACGGGACCCCACTTCTACGCAGAGTGGATGCTCTCCCTGGCCGCGTGGCTGCAGTGATGTCCTCACCTGTCTGACCTTCCCAGCTGGAACAGAGGCAGCGCTCCTGCCGCACAGGCAGTTGGGAGAATGAATGCGGCTTTTAGAAAGTGTGTGTGTGTGGGGGGGGGAATAAAAGTTGCCCACAAATGCCAAGACCTGCTCTAGCCACGATCCTCGTCCCAGCCCGAGTCTCCCATCCCAGCTTCATGACTTCACACTTGGCCCAGCCGAGCCCAGGGCTCGGGAGGAAAGGAACAAAATATTCCCCATCTGCAATGAGCAACTGGGTTCTAGAACGGATGGGGAACACAGGGCAGCAGGAGAGGAGCTGAAAGGGGACCCAAAGCTCAGCCTCCATCTTTGCTGGAAACCTTCAAACCTCTCCTTGCTCAGGCAGCCAAGGCCCGTCTCAGGCCACACCAGGCTCCTCTGGACCTGTGAGCACGGGGGACAGGACACTGACTTCTACCCCAGCTCTGCCAACGACTAAGTAAATAGGCTCGTCCCCTCCCTTCTCCCTCTCTGGGTCCCAATTTTTTCATCTGCGAAGGGGTCACTGCAGCTAGGTGCTCACGCACAGTCCCCCAGCTCCCTGCAGCTCAGGGTGGACACGGGACTGACATCAGGTGCTCACGCACAGTCCCCCAGCTCCCTGCAGCTCAGGGTGGACACGGGACTGACATCAGGTGCTCACGCACAGTCCCCAGGCCCCCAGCAGCTCAGGTGGACATGGGACTGACATCAGGTGCTCATGCACAGTCCCCAGGCCCCCAGCAGCTCAGGTGGACATGGGACTGACATCAGGTGCTCATGCACAGTCCCCAGGCCCCCTGCAGCTCAGGGTGGACACGGGACTGACATCAGGTGCTCACGCACAGTCCCCAAGCCTCCTGCAGCTCAGGGTGGACACGGGACTGACATCAGGTGCTCACGCACAGTCCCCCAGCTCCCTGCAGATCAGGCTGGCCACGGGACTGACATCAGGTGCTGACGCACAGTCCCCCAGCTCCCTGCAGATCAGGCTGGCCACGGGACTGACATCAGGTGCTGACGCACAGTCCCCCAGCTCCCTGCAGCTCAGAGTGGACATGGGATTGACATCAGGTGCTCACGCACAGTCCCCAGGCTCCGTGCAGCTCAGGCTGGACACGGGACCAGTTCTGGCCCAGGGACAGTGAGCAAAGAAATGAGTGTCGTTTCTGGATCTTGAAAGGTGAATACCCAGAGTGCCTCCCACGTGACCCTCCTCTCCGTGGTCAGGTGCTGGAGCCACAGGTGGACCTGAAGCGCACTGGGCTGGGATGTGAGCGGGGAATCAATCCCCTTCTCCCAGAGGAGCCCGGAGATCACGGGGTTCACTTACTGCTGCAGCATCGCCTGCCCGCGCCTAACTAACACCTTTCGGACTAGAAACCGCGCAGGATCCTCTAGCCTTCGGGCTCAGGGACTCCCGACTGGCCGGTACCTGGTGGCAGGTGATGAGCAGTGCCGTCCAGACAAAGAAACCGGAGATGGCCTGCGCGGCAGTTGTCATCAGGAACACGGGCTGTTCCATGGCTGTGGGGCTGCCCTCGGGGACTTCGGAGACGCTGGGCGAGGCTGCCGCCATCGTGGGCGACACTGGATCTGGGGCCAGTGCGGCCCCCCTCACTGTCATGGTGCCCGGCAGCAGGGGCTCCCTGAGAGAAACCGTGGGAGTGAGCGAGGAGCTGGCCTAGAGAGAGGAAATCACAATATTAGCCTCCTCCCAGCCAGGGCCAGTGCTGGAAAGAATCTCCCAGAGTCCTATGTCCACCTTCAAAACGTGCCCGGACTCTGACCAGGCGTCACCCTGGCCCCAGCCATCACGCTGGAGCCAGCCTCATCTTGTCCCCCCTGAATTAATGGAACAGGCTCCTCACCAGTCTCCCTGCTTCTGCCCTTGTCTCTGCTGTCCAGCCCCACACAGCAGCTGTGTGAGCCTTCTAAGATGTCAGCCAGACTGGCCTCTCCTCTGCTCAGAACTCCAAAACCTCCCATCGCCTTCGGAGCAGAAGCTGCGTCCCTCCCGTGGCCCACACGACTGCCCTCCGTGGCTCTGGTTGTTTCTCATCTCCTGCAAGTCCCACCTGATCCTCTACTCCAGTCACGGCCTCCTGCTGCCCTCAGATGTGCCACAGCCTGCCCCGGCTGCAGACCTGCGCACGCCTCTCTGCCCAGCTCTTCCTAGGACCCTGTGGCCCCTGCTGAAATGGATGCGACTCGGAGCGTGTGGGCATTGGGAAGAGCCCTAGCTGGAGCGCAAGGCCCAGGTGCCCACCGACCCGCCCTGTGTCCCACAGGTTCACTGGCCCCGGACGGCCTCTGCTGTCTGACCCTGAAAATGGCCAAACCCCCAAACCCCAACAAGCTCAGCCTGAACCCCGAGGGCAGCCCATCTGACCTCTCACCATTTCCAAGGCTCAGCCAGAGCTGAGCCTAACGGGAGCTTTCCTTGGGCCTTCCTGGGTGCACCCGGGCCCATCGCCTGACCTGCTGATGTCTCCCCACGCTTCCCGGCTCTGTCCCCCATTCTCTCCAATGCTGCCAGCATCCTCTGCCACCATCTATACCATGTGTGCTCTTAGCTGTAAGTTTCACCCCCTGAGAGCCCTTTACATTTCTATTTTCCTGTAAAAATAAATGACTTCAACACACCGACCAGGAGATATATCTAGATTAGAAACCAAAAATGGAGAAGACATCTATATAAAGAAACTAAAAAATGGAATTGTCTATATAAAGATTGGTGACAAGCTTTGAAAAAAGAGACACAGTGACAAGTCTAAGAATAGTTTCTGTAAGAATGATTGCAAAATTGAAAACCAGTGCCAGAAATATTTCTTTAAAAAGGAGACTTGGGCCTGGCTGGTGTTGCTCAGTGGTTTGATTCCCAGTCAGGGCACATGTCCGGGTTGCTCAATCCCCAACAGGGGGCGTGCAGGAGGCAGCCAATCAATGAGTTTCTCTCATCATTGATGCATCTCTCTCTCTCCCTCTCCCTTCCTCTCTGAAATCAATAAAAATGTATTTAAAAAAAATTTTTTTTAAAGAGGAGACTTGGGTTGTAAATCATTATCTTTGCCTATAACCCCAAATTAAATGAACAAACGAGAATCGAAGGGGGATGGGAGGAGGTGGTACAAAGACGCCAAAATCCTCACCTTCTGAGCGAGAGTGTGTCGGAGGCTGCTCTGCTCTAAGGCTGTGCTGAGAGGCCCCTGTGTCGTCTCCCCAGCCAGGGCAACTCTGGGCTCTGCCCCTGCCCACAGGGGGCACACCAGCCAGCCTCTCCCTGGGGCCTTGTCGCTCACACTCTAGTGCCTCTCTCTTAACCCCAGAGTGACACTAACGCTCAGAGCTCTCTCGCTTTCCCCGTGTAGGTCGCCCGCTTCACACCGAGAGACCCACTCAGGGGGGCTCACCCCGAATCAGAGCCAGGGCTCCAACGCAGGTCCTATGGACACGCCGTCTCCCACCGGCCTGGAGGCCCACAGGAGCCGCCCCCTACGGCAGAGCCTCCTGCAGACAGGGCCCCGCCTGTCCTGCCGCAGCTGGCGCTGTCCTCACAGGAAGGGGAGGGCCTCGCCGGGAAGGGTGGCCAGGCGCTGGGAGGCTTCTGTGGCCGGACCCACGCCCGCCATGTTGTTGCGCCATGCCCTGTGGTTTACAAATCATTTCCCCAAACATAGTATCTAGTTTTTTCTCACAGCAACTTTGAAGTAAGTAACATTTTCTCCAACTGAGAGATGAGAAAAATCATGTGGAACTTGGTTTTGCAGTCTCCTGGGGTGGCACGGAATGATTTGAAGGTTTTCATAATATCCCTCCGAAGTACTTGATGCAATATTAGGGTTTTTTGATAAGTTTCTTTTTTATTTTTTTAAATATATTTTATTGATTTTTTACAGAGAGGAAAGGAGAGAGATAGAGATAGAGAGTTAGAAACATCGATGAGAGAGAAACATCGATCAGCTGCCTCCTGCACATCCCCCACTGGGGAAGTGCACGCAACCCAGGTACATGCCCTTGACCGGAATCGAACCTGGGACCCTTCAGTCCCCAGGCCGACGCTCTACCCACTGAGCCAAACCGGTTCCGGCTATAAGTTTCTTTTTTTTTAAAATATGTTTTTATTGATTCTGAGAGAGAGAAAGGGAGAAGGAGAGAGAGACAGAAAAACATGGATGAGAGAGAATCATTCATCGGCTGCCTCCTGCACGCCCCTGCTGGAGATCGAGCCCACAACCCGGGCATGTGCCTTGACCAGGAATGGAATCAGTGACCTCTTGGTGCATGAGACAACACTCAACCCACCGAGCCACACGTGCCGGACATCTGATGCCATATTCTGGCTCAGACGCAGGCCCCTGGCCCCCAGGAGAGGCAGGCGATGGTGGCTCCTCAGAGGCCGTCTCCCAGAGCTGGCCTAGCTTGGTGGCCCAGGATGGCACACCATGCCAGATCTCACCAAATGTTCACAGTGTGCGTCTGTTGGGAGGTGGGGGGATAGACACTGGGGTCCCATCCTTTCACACTCAAGACAGGCACCTACCTGGGAAATATCTCTTGCCTGCCCAGGTCTCACAAGGAAGCAGGACACTGGCCTGGCACAGCCCCCAGGCCTGGGGAAGGCACGGATGACGCTGGCTAGGTAGCCCCTTCACTCTCCTGGGAAAAGGGGTTCAGAGAAGGGCCTCCAAGGCTCCCCTTTTCCAATGCAGTCCCGGCACCCTGATGTGGGGAAGAAGCACAGGATGGAGCTCGGAACCCCGGATGCTCTAGCAGGCCCCCTATTTTCTTAATGGACCAAATATGAAACTTTCGCCAGGGACGCGACACAGAGCCCTGAGGGGAGATGCTGGGATCATCTTTCCAACAAACATGTCCCGAGGCCGCTGGACACAGTGCTGAGCACCCAGCCTCAGCCTCAAGGAACTCACCTGCTCTACACGACAGGGGCGACCTGGAGGCCTGGCCCACTGCCCGGCAGAGGGAGTGCCCAGCAGGAAGGGAGCTGCAGGCAGCGTCACTGCCTTGGCCACAGCTGGGGGCGGGTCAGGGAAGGCTGCAAAGTGGTGGGACTTTGGGGCAGTCTGTAAGTGGCACAACCTCGCCTCCGCTTTGCAGTCACCACGCAGGATTCTGGCCGCCCTCCACCACCGGCCAGCTTGGAGCCTCAGTGTCTTCCTCTATAACGTTTCAGGGCAACTACATAATTGACAAGGGAGTTGTTCTACGTTACGTAAGTCCCCTTAATGAAAGGACACAGAATAATAAAATAAAAAATGACCATTTTGCAATTCCTAGGACAAATAATGGATGGAGACCTGGGTCATCAGTGGATGATAACACCACTAGTGAAAGGCTGATGGGGAATTTGATAAGGGAGGGATCGGGCCGCAGAGGCAAACCCACAGTCAAGATCAATGTCACTAAAACGGGGCACTGGGAGTTTTAAGCCTCCTAACTGCCTGCACGGGAAGCACACAGCTCCTCCCAAGAAGGACCCTTGCCCAAAAAGTGAACGGGGATTGAAACAAGCCTCTGGAACTAATCACCAGTACCAGGAGATACCGAAGGGAGCAGATCAGATTAAATGATACCATGAGGCCCTAGCCCAGCGGTTCTCAACCTGTGGGTCACGACCCCTTTGGCGGTCGAACGACCCTTTCACAGGGGTCTCCTAAGACCATCCTGCATATCAGATATTTACATTACGATTCATAACAGTAGCAACATTACAGTTATGAAGTAGCAACGAAAATAATTTTATGGTTGGGTCACAACATGAGGAACTGTATTTAAAGGGCCAGAAAGTTGAGAACCACTGCCTTAGCCGGTTTGGCTCAGTGGCTAGAGCGTTGGCCTGCGGACTGAAGGGTCCCAAGTTCAATTCCCGGTTGTGGGCTCGATCCCCAGTAGGAGGTGTGCAGGAGGCAGCCAATCAATGATTCTCTCTCATCATTGATGTTTCTACCTCTCTCTCCCTCTCCCTTCCTCTCTGAAATCAATAAAACTATATTTTTTAAATGATTCCATCAGCAAGCAGCAGCCAAATCTAGACCACCGTACAGTCTACACTCACTGGCAGTGGTTCTCAACCTTCCTAATGTCACGACCCTTTAATACAGTTCTCATGTTGTGGTGACCCCCAACAATAAAATTATTTTCGTTGCTACTTCGTAACTGTAATTTTGCTACTGTTATGAATCATAATGTAAATATCTGATATGCAGGATGTATTTTCATTGTTCGCGACCCACAGGTTGAGAACCGCTGGCAGGATAAATGTCCTGGTTTCTCCAACAAGTTAATGTCTTACCAACAAAGGTGGTTGAGGGATTGTTACAGAAAAAGAGACTCTAGAGACGTTACAACCAAATGCAATGTATGGACCTACTGGGTCCTGATGCTTAGACAGGACCCAAAACAGTCAACATACAGGACTCCTGTCAGTTTGCTCAGGTGATAATGACAGGGTGGGTGTGTAAAAATAAGTCCTTACAACGGAAGAAGAGTAATTTTTTCAACAAACAGTACTGGCAGAATTGGACATGAGAGACAAAAAAAAATTAACCTTAACCTAAACCTTTACCTCATATACAAAAATTAATTCACAATGGACCACGAACTTAAATGTAAAATGTAAGACTATGAAACTTGTAGAAGACAGAGGAGAAAAATCTTTGAAACCTAGGGCCAGGCAAAGTGTTCCTAGACTTGACACCAAAGCATGACCCATCAAAATGGAAAACCTGGACTTCACAAAAAGTGAAAACTACACTGTGACTCAGGTAAGGGACTGAAAAGACAAGCAGCATAGTGGAAGAAAACATTTGCAAGTCACACATCTGACAAATGACTAGCATCTGGCATACAGCAAGAATTGCCAAAGCTCAACAACAAAAAAAGCATCAATCAAATTAGAAGATGGGCAAAAGACATGAATAGACATTTCACTTAAGAAGGATACATGGCCGCCCTAGCCGGTTTGGCTCGGTGGATAGAGCGATGGCCTGCAGACTGAAGAGTCCCAGGTTTGATTCCAGTCAAGGGCACATGCCCAGGTTGCAGACTCGATTCCCAGTGGGGGGAGTGCAGGAGGCAGCCAATCAATGATTTTCTCTCATCATTGATGTTTCTGTCTCTCTCCCTCTTCCTTCCTCTGAAATCAATAAAAAAATCTTTAAAAAAAAAAAAGGATACATAGCCAATTCTCCTATATAATAAAAGGGTAATATGCAAATCAACCAAACCTCGACCAGTCACTGTGATGTGCACTGACCCCAGGGGACAGACACTCACTGCAGGAGCTGCCCCCTGGTGGTCAGTGCGCTCCCACAGGGGGAGCGGAGCGCCTCTCAGCCAGAAGCCAGGATCATGGCTGGTGAGCACAGTGGTGGTGGCGGGAGCCTATCCAGCCTCCACGGCAGCGCTAAGGATGTCCAACTAAAGGACATCCCCTACCCCCACCCCGAGGGTTCCCAGACTGTGAGAGGGTGCAGGCCGGGCTGAGGGACCACCCCCCGCCCCCCTGCATGCACGAATTTCATGCACCAGGCCTCTAGTAAATACATAAATAGCTTTTCACATCCCTAGCCATTAGGGAAATGCAAACTAAAACCACAATGAGTTATCATTACACCTTATAAATAAAAAGCAATGACAACGCCAAATGCTGGCACAGATGTAGAGAAACGAGCTCATATCCATTGCTGGTGGGAATACCGGGAAACAGTTTCTTACGAAAATCAGTTTCTTATAAAACTAACATGCACTTATCCTCGGGAAAGGAAAAGTTAGATTCACACAAAAACCTGTACACAAATGTTCACAGCAGCTACACTTGCAATCGCCAAGACCTAAAAGCAACCCAAATGTCCTTGGACAGGTGGAAGGTAGGACACTGGTGCGTCCTGACTATGGAGTACCCTCAGCAACAAAGAGGAACTCCTACTGACACAGGCAGCCATCCAGACGGAGCTCAGACCATGGTGTTTACTGAAAACAGCCATCCCAAAGGTCACTACTGCCTGGTTCCCATTATGCAACATCTTCAAAATGACAAGCCTATAAGACGGAGAACAGATGACTAACTGGCAGAGAACAGCAAAGGGGCGCACAGATACAAAGGGGGAACATAGGCGCTCGCCCCAGGTGGTGAGAGTCTCTGGACCCTGACGGTGGTGGTGGCCCACACACATGCAAAAACAGTGACGACGGAGTACTAGTCACTAGTATTGTCTTAATGTCTACTTCCTGGTTTTGATACTGTCCTACAGCAATTATGTCACCATGTGGGGGAAGAAGGGTTTTTGTGGGACTCTACGTGCTATTTTGGCAACTTCGTGTGAGCCTACAGTTACTATTTCAAAATAAACAAGTTTTGCCCGAATTGTGTTGGCAGCCACCATCACTCTCTAATGCCTGTGCCGCCTCGGCTCGCCAAGCTCCAGCAAAGAAGGGGAAAAGTAAAGAGGTCTCTATACCATGGCTCGTACAGAGCAGACTGTCCGCAAATGGACGGGTGGTAAAGCACCCAGGAGGCAACTGGCTACCGAAGCCACTCACGATAGTGCGCCCTCTGCTGGAGGGGTGAAGAAACCTCATGGTTACAAGCCTGGCACCGTGGCACTTTGTGAAACTAGAGGTTATCAGTCCATTGAACTTCTGATTCGCAAACTTCCCTCCCAGCGTCTGGTGCGAGAAATTGCTCAGGACTTCAAGACAGAACTGTGCTTCCAGGGAGCAGCCTAGGGTGCTTTGCAGGGGGCAGGGGCCTGTCTGGTTGGCCTTTTCTGAAGACACCAACCTGTGTGCTATCCATGCCAAACGTGTAACAACGATGCCAAGACATCCAGCCACACGCCACATACCTGGAGAACGTGCTTAAGATCCACTATGATGGAAACATTTCATTCTTTTGAAATAAAATTTCTCTTCTTCCTGTTCTTGGTAGTTCTGAATGTTAAGTATTTTTCCCCCGTGGGGTCAAAAGGTACCTAAGGATATGATTGCAAGTTGAAAATAGGGGACAGAAATCAGGTATTGGCAGTTTTTCCATTTTCATTTGTGTGTGAATTTTTTAAATATAAATGCAAGTCAAATGTTTCGGTGAACAAGTTTCAGCAGTTGAACTGCCTAACAATATAAAATAAAACTGTTAAATTTTTCGGGACATTGCCAGCATTTGGATTTTTTAAAAACAAATAAATTTCTTATTGATGGCAACTAAATGGTGTTTGTAGCATTTTTATCATACAGTAGTAGATACCATCCATTCACTATACTTTTCTGAGTTGTCCTACATGCAAGTACATGTTTTTAATGTTATCTGTCTTCTGTGCTGTTCCTGTAAGTTTGCTATTAAAATATATTAAACTATTAAAAAACATGAAGGACCAATGGTTCTCTCTCATCATGGATATTTCTATCTCTCTCTCCCTCTTCCTTCATCTCTAAAATCAAAATATATATATATTGATTTTATATACACACACACACACAAACACATATATATAAAATTTTTAAAAGTAGAAATGTATATTGAACTACTTAAGGGTGAAAAATAACACGAAGTCTGGGATTTACTCTTTAAAAGGGGAGAGATTAAAACAAATAAATAAAAATAAATAAATAAAAGGGGAAAGATAGATGCAGGGCACATGCCCTGGTTGCGGGCTCGATCCCCAGTGTGGGATGTGCAGGAGGCAGCCAATCAATGATTCTCTCTCA